CCCCAGACCCCCCCCCCCCCGCGCAGCCGAAAAGGAAAAACTATTTCGCGTAAACGTTCCCCTCGTCTTACGCTGTGTCGCAACATGACTACAGTTCAAGAGGAGAAGCATCCAAATAGATTCGCCAGGGGTACGACGACAACGGAATTAGGCCTCAGCGATTGTACGCTAAACGGGCGATATGTCAGGATTGTAGTCCGTCGACAACGACAAAACGCGAGCACGTGTGGTATCAGTCTTTGTGCGGGTTAACCCCCACGTTGCGCAAGCATGATGTGAGATCAGCAACATGGATCTTCGTCGCGTTCACTCAGACAAAAAAAGGGGAAAAACAGTGGTCGAAGATTCTCACACGCAGGGTCTACTATCTCCTACCCCCGCGTGTGATCGGTCGTGTGAGAACAATGCTCAGTCGTATCAAGGACGCGTGGTCAAGGGTCTAACAACTAAGGCATGCAAGACTAAAAAACGTCCCTAGCTCCGCATTGATTCATCGTCAGGGAGGGCAGTATTGTCGTCGCAAAGAATGTTCCCCTGGTATAGGTAGAATAACGGCCCTATGGAGCGGGCCCCGTTGTCTGCGTCCTTGCTACAAGAAACGGTGGGCAAGGGCCTAAGGTTCACAAGCAAGATGACCCTTGACCCTTACCGACGCTAGAAGCACTAGAACATCAACAACACAGCAGCAATAGAAAGTACAAGAGTACGGGGAACACCAGCATGCGCGAAGACCCATCATATACAAACCTGCATGTGAAAATTGAGGGCGTTCGGGTCATCGTAGTAGCCTTGAACGGAGGAAACGATATCTTCCACTGTATCCCTAGCAGCCGCCGAGAAGGCTTTGTATCCAGTGTTGCTGCTTTGAAGGCACTGGAGGGCAGGGAGAGCAGGTGAAAATGATGTTCTGCTGTCTTGGCACGAATGCGACGTGAATGCTGCTCTTGGTGTAAACAACTGCAGCATTAGCAGCACTAGCGGCAATAGCAGCATTGCCAGCAGCAAACAGCAACAACAACGACCGGAGAACACACGGGAAGCGGACAGACGAACTCTTTATGAAAATTATTGAGAGCGATAATGTGTCTCGTTTTCACGACCTCGCTTCACAGAGTATCTTTGGGGCGTTGGGCGTTTCGCAGTAGTGTTTGGGAACCGTACCGACCGCATCGATTGGTCCAACGTCTCCAATGAAAGCCTTGATGGTTGCGAACCGTTTCCGGCGTTGTACTTGATTCTAAATATCCTGTCTGACGCCACGTACAGACAACACCCTGCCTGCTATCCCATGGATCAACGAAGCACGGCCAGTTCCTCTGTTAAAATCGTAGCACTGCTTAGAGGGTGCGCAATATTGTTTGATGATGGAATAAAAACCCGAGGAAAGAAATGGTGGAATAAAAACCCGAGGAGAAATGGTGGAATAAAAACCCGAGGAAAGAAATGGCTTCCGTAGTGCACGTTACTTCTGCCGGGGGGTTGAGGTGTGGGGTACTCCTTTGTTGCATGCCTTAGGTGTTTCCAGTGAATATACTCCTTTCGAGACATGGGCCAAAACGCCCCCAAACCTGGATCAGACCACCACCACCGCCAATACATCACGGTAGAAGAAGTGCATGTAGTGAAAAATCAGCGTCTCCACCTTTTTTGGCTCAGTCTGGCTGACCGACTCACTAGATCTATGCATACATACCACTTTCTCGCACCCGATTTCTCGCTACCTCGACTGCAGCACTTAAAGTCCAGGTGCGGCAGTAAAATAAGCACGCAGGGCAAGCAAGTAAACACTGGGGTGCCAGAGGGCACAAACGAAGTAGCGCGAGGGGGGATTGTGTCGACTCGGCGCTTTTTTTTCTTTTTTCGTGGCTTCGTGGGGTGTGCAGTGTAGTAAGGTAAGGGACACGTCTATCTGTGTCTCCCATCTTTTCGCCTTTAACTTTCGTTATCTGCATGTAGGATGGCCTATGTTTCTGCCCCCAGTTCCCCATGGTTTGTGTGTCTCTGGGAGTATTTCTCTCATAGAAAAACAACACCCAACTACTGCTGCGGCGTACTCGTGTCCACAAATATATCAACTTGCCTCGCAACTCATGATTTAGTTTTCGGCATAATTTTCTTGAGCGTTGATTGATTGACCGATTGATTCGCGATCCCCGTTGAGTTCAATTTATGTACTGCAGAGCCTACTACATCTTTTTACCGCAAATCGTGAAAGTTTTTCTCCTAGAACATAGTCGGCACAGAGCATAGAGAACCGTGCTTCGTCTACGGGCCGTCGTAGGCGCAACGGAGTACAGCAGTAGATGTGCCAGAGAAATCATGATCAATCATGTTTGTTTCTGGATCTTCCTCTCACCCACCTTCGGAAAAAATGCCAAGCCGCCGCTGCTTGCAGCCGAAGCTACCATGCCCCGTGACGTGTATTCAATGCAGCCGCTCCTTGACATCACGGAACCTTGAGAGGTCCCCGTAATCGCCGCTAACGCGGACGTAGGGAAACGCGGCCGAACGTTGGTGCTTTTTCGCTGGAGGTGTTGGGGTGACCACCACATTCTTCCGGATCCACCGAGTGCGAACCGCGAGGCGTCAAGCGCGGAGCGACGGTGCGCCATCTTGATACACTTGGCTACGTGAGCCCGTATTGGCGAGGGGATAGAGACGGGTGGTAGCTAGACAGGGAAACCTCCGCGCTGTGAGTAGCGAACGGCAAGCTGTGAGACTGCTACTGTCAAGACTTCAACTGTCAAAACATATGACGCCATCAAGTGAAGGAATGCATGCCCCCCCCCGACACGCTAGGGGGCACGCAGACAAAACCTGACGGTCCCGCGAGCCCTGGATCTTGCAAAGGTACAGAGTAAGTAACGCTTGCGCAGTCACACTCCTCGTTTCCGTCTCCGCAAAGCAGCAAAAGCACAGCAAACGAAGGGAGTTGTTCCACCCTGCTTTCTTCACACGAGTGTTGTGTTGCACATCATAAGCGATCGACGTCCGCATTCTCTATACGCTTTTTTGGCTCAACAGCTCGCTCTAATGGCTTTGTCACGTGCCTCCGACACCCTGTAGCCTGTATCCGACACCAGACGGCTCAGATAGGGTGGATGGTTGGGAAAGCTCATTTGGCGAAGCGGCACATACACATCCTCGACGAGTCGGGCCCCTCGGGAAGCAGGATGTCAAGGTCTTTGCTGCGGTGATGCCCGAGTGAAGTGCATTTTTCTCTCCGTTTTCTTCTACGTGAGGTACAGTTGCCTCGGGCAACCGCGCTGGTCCTCGAAGAGATCCCGGTATCATTTTGAAGGTGGTGTAGACTAGAGAGCAAAGACGAGACGAGGCTTCGCAAACAACCAATCAATCAATCCCCGTGTGCTTTTACACGAGGTTTTGTACAACGTCTGTCGCAAACGTAATCACTCCAGAAAACCCAATATAAATAATGAACTACGCATCATAGTAAGGTATAATAGTTGGTTCTTCGTCGGGCATCGCACAAAGATCTTCGACAATTTTCAACCCGCAATGACCAAGAGTACGGGCAACATTGCCTCCACCCTTGTTGTCTTGCTCCCAATAATAACTTCTTGCACAGCCGCTGGGGAGAGTTGTTGCAGGCATGGCTTACTACGCGTACAAACCAAGCGCATGAAAAGCCTGGAACGGAAGAGGACCACCCTACGGCAGTTTATGGAGCAGCAAGACGTAGCGAGGACAATCCCCGCTTTAAGGGGATGAATGTGCACAGAGGATCGATGACACGCCGAATCCTATAAATGAAGTGCTTGAACCTTAAACCTGACACTTGATGTCCACGTACGTCACCCCCGAGAACCCCCCCCCCCTTTTCAGAACCAGCCCGCTTTGTGTGTCTGAGTATTCATTGGAAGCAAAGATACACGTGACACTACGTAGCAACGGCCCTGTTCGCTAAAATCTCGCTAAAATTTCGCTGACATTTCTTCTATCTATCGCACGCAAAGATGAGCCTAAAACACACACACAAACCTATACACATCTCACCAATCATGAAGCTTGATGTCTCTAGACTAATCACATCAGCTTGCCAACCGAACAGCAATCAGTGACAGGATACGCTTGACTGACTACACGCCCATCAGCTTCAAGAGCTCGCTTGCGCGCACTTGGATGCTCCCTTCGTCTCCGAGCTCCGGGTAGACACCGAGAGACCCCGCAAAATCCTGCGGGGGAAAAGGGAGGGGGGAACGTACCAAAACGCGCAGCAGGCATATGGATTAAAGGAAAGGTGTACCAACACATGAAAACATTGCCTGCTGCCCCCTCCGTGCCAAGAGCGGACGCCACGAACGGCTGTCCAACCGATCTGTACAGATGTTCTCAGGGGGCGGGGTGGGACCGAAAACCGTTGCTTTCCTCCAGGTCCTTCAGCTGCAGTAGTATCGGGACCATCGGGTTCATTCGAAGACCTGCCACTCTCCTTCGCAATCGGTTTCCAAGCCTTATCAACGCTAGAACGAAAAACCTGGGAGAACAAATCGGGGTTGCGGCAAGGTACTATATTCTTGGCTACATACGACTGCGCCACATATACCACGCTCTATATCGAACGTCTTTGGTCAGAGGTGTTGATGGCACACAGAACATTTCCAATTGCTGCTAATCGCTTGGTTCTCTGCCAGAGAAGCAACGTCTCCCGATGTTCACAGGCCCACACGAACATGCACCGCTGCTATGAGACTGATATCAGCGTATGCGAGGGTCACAGGCTACCGTGCAGATACACACACGGACAGCAGCAGAAATGTCTCGCCTGGCTCTCGGTGCTGCCGGTGTAGGTGATGACGCAGTTCATCTTCGCGCCTAGCGCCGCCTCGAGGCCGATGAGGCTGTCCTCGATCACCATACACCTGTTGTCGTTGTGTCGCGAGGCGTCGCCGCAAAGGCCAAATATTCTTACCAAGAGGTACATACACCGACAATGCGCAGCACTGCCGCATTGCACTTCTGCTTCCGAGGAGAGGTGACTCATTCTTCTCTGCTCTCCAGATCCCTCGTTTTTCCGTACGTGGGCTTGTGTGTGCCGTACTCCACTGGAAAGCCAAGGTCGCAGCCGCCCTCCGTGTCTAAAGCATCTCGGGACTGCCGACGCAAAGAAAGTAAGTTTAGAACGAAGGGCACTAAAAGCAGGGGGCACGCAGACCCTAAAACCCTAACCCTAACCCCAAGTTAGCAGATTTTATATTCTACCCAATGTGTTTGCTTGTATAGAAACACCTGCGTAGACTACTGGCATCTCGCAACCCACTACCCTACTGCTAAGCCACCGCGACCAGAGAAGAAGGGCATGCACTGATGCTATGTGAGAGCGGGGGCTGCTTCCTCGAGTGCATGCAGGGATGTACCGCCACCACCACCCTTCCCCCCCTCTTCTCGTTTTATTCTTTGCCTTTTCAAAGTGCGGCTAGCAAAGCCTCTACTTTCTTTCGCTGAGCGGGCTTCAGTATCACACTCGAAAACATCCCTATATTGATAGGCTTCACTGCTGTACCATACGCAATCCTATGCCCCCCCCATTCTGTCGGTTTTGGCCTTGAAATCTATCAACGTTTGGAACGGCAGTGCATACAGGTGTGCACTTGAAGACACCTTGCCGTATACCCATGGCGTCGACCGCTGTATTTGCTGCAGCATTATACACATGCCGTCGACCGCTTCATTTGCGTGTGTGCTCTGCAACGTTCTAACGAGTCCCGCCCGCGCCCCACCCACCTCTCCGGCGGCACGCCGAGCTTTTCGCTCGCGAGCGCGTAGATCATCGGGTCCGGCTTCCTTCGGGGAACGTCGTCGCCGGCGAGAACCAGGTCGAACTTGCTGAGGTTTTCCTTTCCCAGCAGGTTGTCGAGGACGAAGAGGCAGGCGTCTTTGGTCGAGGCCGAGCAGATGGCCATCTTCCCTCCCTGTTGCATGCGCGTGCGTGGTTGTGTTCATATTACAGTGGGGATCCCCGAGTAGCGGGTGAAATTGGCTGGAAAAGAACGAATAATCAACTTGTTCTACGCATTGAATCAGGCGGCCTCCCCACACGAGGCGGTTCTTGCGCCCCCTTATTTGAGGGGGGGGGGCACTGTACTAGCATCGACCGCGGCTAACCGGCTGACCAATGTAAAGACGCCAGTCTCAGCATGGTCGAAAACAAAAAAATACTTCTTCTACAAGCCACCATGATCTGGGACCGCGAGTTTGTGTGTATGTGTGTGTATTTCTTTGACTAGCATCGGCCGCGCTATGAAATCGTCGGCTGACCAACGGGTAAACGTCATTCTAAACAGGGAGATATAGAACACGAAGACGCTTGCTTTCAATTCAGCGTGTGTGCTCACGCGTGGTTGTGCACACCACGCGTTGCTAACCTATTCGTTGGGATCGGGACTACAGCAACAGCACAGCAGCGGGCACCAGAAACCAACTTCACAATTGGTGCCGCAGACTGGTACGACCCCTACGACCCCTACGACCCTACGATCCCTTCGGAAAAACGGCACAACAGGAAAAACTTCGGGCGACCGATAGAGTGCACCTGTTGGGCGCCTCGTCTCCACAACCCATCGAAGGGCAAACGAAGAACCAACAGTTACACAGACAATGCTGTACTTCAAAACACGAGCAAGCGAAGGGGTGGCGCGGCGTTACCTACTTAACGCTGCTGCGGGGGGGGGGGGGGGGGG